CCCCTCCCCCCGACCCCTCCGTTACCTTACGCGCCGAGCTCCCAACTTGCCGAATAAAATAAAGGAGAGGAGAGGAAGGGAATCGAAACGTGCGCCCGTCGTCTCTCGCACGTTCCCTGGAAGGCATTGCAGCGCCCCGCACGCCCGCTATATTTGAATTTGTAACTGTCAAACGAAGTGCCGGGCCGTCCAGGTGTTCGTTCGATGCACTGGGCTTTTCTTGTATTGCCTTTATATGGGAATCAGGTTCTCCATTATTGCCAGGTGTTGCTATTGAATGTTGCAAAAAATTACAATTGATAACACATCGACATTGGTTTTAAGAAAATATACTTACAAAATTAATACTTCGTACGTTTTTTATTTCATAAAGTTGCCTGCCCTTTTGTTCTTCAAATCCTCTATTGATTATTAGTTGTCTATGTGATCTTTGGGCTTCGAGAGTTCGAGCTCATGCAACACGCCGCCGCTGCCGAACCTCACTACTAAACTTGTGACGCTCCCTCCCTCTTGCGTCCCACCTCCCGCCCTCCGAACCCCTCCCGCCCCCCATCCCTCCGGCTTTTACGCGCCAGAGGGACAAGACCCCGGGCCTGGCCAGGTCAATACAAGGAATTCAAATAAATCTGCCTGGGGCAATAAACGTCAGCCGGGGCAGCCAGGAGGTCCCACGGAGTCCTCCCCCCCCCCCTCTCTCTCTCTCTCTCCCTTTCCCTCTCCCTCTCTCTCTCTCTCTCTCTCTCTCTGTAGCAGTGTAGCAAAGTGAGGTTACATTTTGGCTTGTTTCGTGGTTGTTCGCATGGATGGGCCGCGCGTCCCCTTCTGATTGACAACCATGTAGGAGGAGGCACTCCCATGACACCACGCGAGCAATGAAGAGAAAGCGAGAGGGGGGGGGGGGTACAGCGAGGGAATCCCTTGGGGGGAACCAAGGCTAACAGGGTGGCGAAAGGGCGTTGCCCTGGAAGGGGTGGGCGGCGTGGTGCGGGAAGACAAGGACTGATAACTGGTCGCCTTTTCTTCGCCTCTACTTCCTCCTTTTCCCCCTCCCCCTCTTCCTTTTCCCCTTTCCGTCCGCCGCCCTGCGCCCCTTGCCTTACTTTTTAACATCATCGGTAAAAAGGTCACGACTTCAATAATGGCGTATTACCGAATGGAACGTCGCCACGCCCCCCTTGCCTCATCTCCCTACCCTTCTCATCCTTCTCCTCGCCTTGCCCGCCTTTCCCATCCGTTTCTCTTTTCTCTTTTTATTTTCCTCCCTTTTCTTTCCTCTCCCGCTTTCCTATCCCCCTGCATCTTCTCTTGATGCCTCTTCCTGCCTGCTTCTGGGTTGCCTTCACGCGCTTGGCCTCGACAACTCTCCCTATGGTACCTCACGAGCTACGAGCACCAACATTTTTTATGCGCAACCTGCAGAATGCAGTGCCCTTCCTCTCTGTTTAGTATAGCATGTAGAGTCCACAAAATTTTCAAGGATTTATTCGTTAACCTGAAATTTGTGGACACTGTAAGATGTTTTCTTTAGGCCAGTCAGTAAGAATATATAGTTCGATACCTCAGAGCGAGAACCGCTCAGTCTCTCGAGGCGCTTCGACAACCGCTCAGTCTCTCGAGGCGCTACGACAACCGCTCAGTCTGCTGAGCCGCGGAGACAACCGCTCAACCGCTGCAGGAAAGCCTATTATACTGAGCGGTTGTCGAAGCGCCTCGGCAGACTGAGCGGTTGTCGAAGCGCCTCGAGAAACTGAGCGGTTGTCGGAAACGCCTCGGCAGACTGAGCGGTTCCCGCTCTGAGGTATCGAGTTACGTTGCGAAAATACTCATGTAGAGGTTTTTCATTTTTCATGAACAACAACAACGGCCTGCGTGGGCGGGAGAGAAGCTCGCTTTTAACTGTCAGGCCCGACGTAAAACTCGACTAGACCGCCCATCATGTCATTTAAACGATCAAGATGACATCAATCTTGTTGCGCGTGTCCGGAGTGATTTTCCGGCCTGCTGGCCTCGTCCTCAGTCTGTGCACCCCCTCCTCATCTCCCCGCGTTATCATCCTGCGCCATGACAGCATCCGAGCCGTGCACGAGCCGCGCACGCAGACTGTGCACGAGCCGCGCACGTAGACTGTGCACGAGCCGCGCGCACAGACTGTGCACGAGCCGCGCGTACCGACTTTGCACGAGCCGCGCGTTCAGACTATGCACGAGCCGCGCACGCAGACTGTGCACGAGCCGCGCGTACAGACTATGCACGAGTCGCGCACGCAGACTGTGCACGAGCCGCGCACGCAGACTGTGCACGAGTCGCGCACACAGACTGTGCACGAGCCGCGCACGTAGACTGTGCATGAGCGGCGCGTACAGACTACGCACGAGCCGCGCACGCAGACTGTGCACGAGCCGCGCGTACAGACTATGCACGAGCCGCGCGCACAGACTGTGCACGAGCCGCGCGTACAGACTA